TTTTCATGTAAAAAAAAAAGGTAGAGAATCAACAGCACAATAACAAGAACAACATGAAGAGGCAAAAGCAGGAGCTCCTTCCTGCTCTTTGGAGACAGAACTAACAGAAGCTCCAGCTGTGGAGGTTCTGTTCTGTAGTCAGAGGCAGCATGTCTGTTTTAAACATAAATCATATATTAGAGTATTATTAATGCTTCCAATCAGTCTTCAGGCTGTCTGCTACTGAATATTTATCATATGGCTTGCTTCACATACTGCATTCTGAAGTGTTCAAATAGAAGGTTAAATGTGAATATGCATTTGTCCATCATCCCTTTGAGAGTGGGTTTGTTCTCCTCCTAATCTCTGGCAGACGCTCTTTGCATGAAACAACTGGTGTCCTTAGACCAATCCATCACTCAGATGTACCTTCAAATGAGACTCAATCTCAGCAATCAGAGAGCAAGACCAAGAGGTGGATCTGTTGTCTGGTAGATTTGGAAAGGAGCTAACAGCAATTTCCCTGTCTCCTTGTTGCCCCTACCACAGCTGCCTCTCACTGCCTGGCTCTAAAAGAGCAACCAAGCTGGCAGCTCAGGGCTGAGCCACTGGCACAGGGGCAGGAAAAGAGTGAAGACATCTCTAGGAGGTCTAGAGGCCTCGATATGCTGTACCTCTCCTTGGCAGTGAAAGGGGTGATTGGGAGATGTGCTTTAGAGGCTGTCTTAGAGCTTACAGATCGCCAGTCAAGGGCAGTAGCTGCTGACAGCTGGCATCTGCTGTGATTGTAGGGGCATATGCCGTATGTCCCCCTTCCTTGAAGAGGAGAGGCTGGATTCTCCTGCTAGGCCATCCTGTTGGGGACTTTTAGGTTTCTCTGCCTAGTGGCACTGGGTGCTGTCCTGCTTCCACACTGTGCTCTGCAGTGTCACCAAGCCCACCAGGAGCTGGGTTTCTTCCTTGCACAAGCAACGTCCTTGACCATTACAAAGCATTAGGCTGTGGACCTTTCTAGTATGCTCAGCACAAACTAGTAGGCTAATGGGAGTGTTGGGATACATTTTAGCTGGTTTGTTCTTGGACGTCATTTGTTAAAAATCTGTGTTACTCTAAGTATGAGGTCATGCAGGAACAAAATGATACTCAGAGGATGCCTTTAAGCTTGAAGAATCAGCAGCTGCCAGATAGACAGTCTCCTGCATAGCTTTCTTATTCCCACTCTGTGCACCCACTGTGTATACAGAAGGAAACTTAGGTCTTGTGAGAGAAGAGGTGTGTGGTCGTGGAATTAAAGAATATATATATATATATATATATATATATATATATACAGGGAGATGAAGGGATGACTTAAGATGTCCTCTACTCTGCTAAACATGATACTTTGCCTCTTATCCACATTAATTTCCTAGGAATAATATTTTCTTTAAAGAAAAAAGGATAAAAATAAATATTGTTATCCTGCATTAGCAGCAGGGCTGGAGCCCTGTGTCTTTCCCATGTCTTTCTTTCCAAGTGCTGCTGTCCTCGGAGGCCTTCCTAACATGTGCCAGACCTCCCTTGGCCCTGTCAAAGCCTGGCACACCGGTGAATGAAATATTTGCATGAGACAGCGCTGTCTCATGTAACATTTAAATTCCCATCTGAATCTGAGGCACAATTCCTGTTCACTTCCTAGCTAGGCTGCAGCATGGTTAAAAAGCTGCTCATCCTTCTGTAAAGTGGGGTTGTAGTGCTTGAGGAGGCTTAAAAGAGCTGCAGTAAAATTCAGGAAAGCGGAAGCAGCACTGTATATACTTGCGTAGAATAGATCCCTTCCTTAGAGATGTGGCTTTTCCCAGAGGAAAAGCCAAGTGGCACATGAACCACTACTCCACCCTCACAAGGAAATTGCCTGGGCTGTTCTGCATTTACCAGCCACCCCAGGACTTCCCCACTTCATGTTTGTTCTGGGTGAAATGCTCCCTTCTGCTGCCGTGCTCAGGGCTCCTCGCTGGCTCTGATGTGCCCCTGCTGCTCTGCTCTCTGCCTTCTCATTATTTCTTTAGGGTCATCCTACCTACCTTGTTAGGCAAAGCTTTCCATTGATGGGGTCTGCACTCACTTAGAGAATGTAAAGAGTATGTACAACGTGGGTCTCTCGGATTACCTTCCTTTTCCAGTCCTGATGGGACGTCCCTTGCTTTTGGGGGAAGACCAGGACAAATAGGCGAACTGGAGAAAGCAGTAGTAACAACTTCTGGATCTGCAGTTGTTCCTGCTGCTCGGTCATGATGGCTTTGACTGATCTGTCAGTACAGTCTGTCTTCCCAGACAGACAGTGGGGAAGTTGTCCCTCTTTAGACGTGCTTCAGTACCCCTGTCAGTGAGACTTCTTCACCTGAGGACCTCCAGAATTTGTGAGGGGGTCCCTCCTTGCTGCCCAACAGAACTGGATGTGCTTGTGGAATGTCTTTGTTTTTCTTCTTGCTTTTTAATTTGTTGACTGCTACTCCATGGTGCTCTGAAATACTCAGCCTCCTCCAGATCTCAACTTTGAATGCCATACTGGACAAAGCAGCTACAGATCTTCTCCAAAGGCCTCATTGAGCCTTTTCCAGCTTCCAGTAGTAGAGGGAAGATCTTTCTTTTATTGGAGGGATAAAAATGGAAGCACCTTCTCGGCTTTGTTTTGTTCTAACACCACAGTTGTCCTGATATTTTCCATCTCCATTTAAGGACTGAATTAAGATTCATCATATCCTGTGGGTTTTTTTGTACTCTGTTTAATATAACATTCTTTATTATTACTTTTAAGAAAGCCGAATTGCATTTACAGGAGATTTTTAATGTGTTGAAGTCTTTGGTTCCTTAATGTTTTTGTATGGTCACCAGTTCAACTTTAGACTCATGGCTTGAACTGAAAACAGGAAAGCCAGAAAGTGAGAATGTTTCCAAAATGTCACTTTCTCTTTGCAGTGTATTTATAAAAGTTGCAAAAAAATACCAAGATCTCCCACACCAACATTTTTGGAGCACTGAGAAAGGAACTAGTCTTTTCTCTACAGCTATGCCTACATCCCTTCCCTCCAAAAAAGCAGCTTACTCTAGTTACACAGTACAAGTACACAGTGACCCTCGAGGCTATCAGAAATGTTTTAGAAGGGCAGGTAATTCTAACAGTTTACCAGACAGAGAAGCAGGAAAGCAGGAATGTTTTGGTGTGTCCAGAGTGGATCAGTGCAGGGAGATGGGAGTGACACTTTCCTCCTCAAGCAGCTTTTCACTAAATTACTCAAGCCCAGATGAGCATCTCAGACACCAATTGAAGATTTCCCCTGTGCTCTCTGACCTCATGGCAGCACATCCTACTGGGATGGCTCAACACCAGCTTAGTAATGAGATAACCACAGGGAACCCAGAGAGACAAATTTATGACACCAGGAAATGGCTTTACCTCACAGGACAAACTGTTTTGTTGCCAGGATTGGGGATGAAGATAAACCACTTTCTCCTGTCTGAAACAAAAGGCTTTAACACTTTCTAGATTAGCAGCTATGTAGAAAAAGGCAACCAAAAGGGGCAGTGTCTTGGAGGGTTTAGAGCCTCTGCTACTGGACTCTTAAAGGCTGTAATTTCATTAACCTTTCAGCTTGTGTAATCATGACAAAGTCAAAGCCACATATTCAGATTTTGGATCTGATTTAACTTCCTGGTCCATTTTCTTATCTCATGATCTATGGATGAGTATCTTATTTGCCTGTTGGCAGAAGAAGTTTGGAGCAGGGAGTGGTATATATGTCGTGGTTTTTTTACATGGACGTTTCGTGGACTAAATAATGCTGGCAGATACTGTTTTCTTCCACCACAAGGAGAACATATAATTTATTCTTGTCTCATTACATTAAAAGAAATACAGCACAAAAGGAAAAGGGAAGAAAACCACCAAAAAAGGATATGAAGATATAATCCTTTCTAGCCAGAAAAATACCAACTCTATGACATCCTTGTGTGTGGGGAAACTCAGCTTCTAGATTATTTTGATAAACTTTGTTACAATCAGTTTCACACAAACCCCAGTCGTTTATTTAATCTTAACTGCTTGCAGAAATGTCATCCAGTAAGGACATGGAGATTGTTATTTTTTTTTAGTTTCAAAAAAAGAGTTTGTTTATTTTTCTTCTATTATTTGGTTTCTCTCTGCAGATTTATAAGGGCTCTGTCACTAACAGCCTTGCATTTGCTTGTGAGCTGGGTGTGCGGTTTGCCTGCCTGCAAGGGCAGGAGCATCCACAGTGGGAGGCAGCTGGCTGGGAAGTAGATGGAGCCTACCCACCCCAGCAATGCTTCCTGCACAGCCAGCATGAGCATGCCAAAGTAACCCTGAAGTAGTAGCAAGTCATAACATAGTTTTGGTCCATTCCAGGACAGTGCCATCACTAAAAGGGAACCAAGTCCTTTTGTGTTATCTACAGGATGAAACCAGAAAAACTCCCTCTATCCCATTAGTCTCTTATGTAGAGACTTCCTTCTGGTGGCTCATACAAGCAGGGCTTTGGTGGCAGTCACTAAGGGTTCACAGAGCTGCTGTGCCTTTGGTAGTTCTTGACCATGTGCTGCATTTCCTGTGCAAACTTAAGACAGCAGCGTCCAGTTTCAAGAAGTGCCATGGACGCTGCTGTAATTACTGTCTCCCCACACCTCTCTGCTGCCTGCCCTGCAATGCCTTTCTGTGCAGTTTGCTCTGAGAGCAAGAGTGGATCTGTTGCTCACACCTCCTTCAAGTGTGCCATCCTGTGTGACTTGTAGTGATGGGGGGCTGCACTCACACAGAGCTGCAGCTCTGTGAACCTCTCAAGCTCTGGAACTTCTCAGCTGGGAACATAATGGGGTTGCAGAGCTCGGCCACTGGCACTGCTGACAGCCATGGTTGGAGCCAGGAATGAAACCCTGTCTGCTGACCTTTCTTCTTGGTGCTGTTGTGCTATCTCACATGGCAGCTGATGCCCCTAACCTTCCCCTTTCATCTGTTCCTTCCTTAGGCAAGATTCTGTTCCGGAGGAGCCATGTCCGAGACGTAGCTGTGAAGAGGCTAAAGCCCATCGACGAGTACTGCAGGGTAAGAGCTCCGAGGGGTGCTGGGCAGCCCTGATGTGTGGGGGCTCAGTGCTGGGCTTTCCCTGATGGATACTGCTGACAGGCAGTGTGTTGAGTCTATCACAGGGAATATGGTCCTTCCCAAACACCACCAAGACTAACAGGGCAGGTGGAAACAGGACACTGTTTGCTCCCAGGGTCCTCGTAGCATTTTGCCATGCAAACTTTATGCACTGGGTTGGTGCCTCGTTTCCTCAGTAAAGGCTCTAAGCCTCATCTGCCCTAAATGTGAATTTTATTTCTACATCAACCACAATGACTCAGGAGCTGAGAGGCAGAGAAGCACAACTAAGATGATGTTTTTTTCTGTTTCCTGTCTGTCTATCCTGCAGTGCCACATGAGGACAGTGCCGACTGGCACAGCACTGAGGGTGTACCAGTGTCTTCTAGGAGTGCTTTCCTGATGAGTGAAAGCCTGGAAATGTATTGCAGGACAGAAAAGCACAGCTCTGTTGAGAAGAATATTAAGTCACCTAATCTTTCCTTTCTAGCCTAGAGTTTATGATATGATGATAATTAATCCTCTGTCAGTAGATTAAAAGTTGTTTCTAAGAAAGGAGGATTCCCAGTTTTTGTAGAAGTATCAAGCACATCAGCACATAATTTAAACCGGAGACTTCCTCTCTTATTTCCCATGACGTTTCTTTCCATTTTTAGAAAACCAGAGGAGCAGGTGGAGGGGGAAAAAATGCACTCCCAAGAACTTCTCCAGTCAGACATTTGCTCCTGCAAAATTGGAAGCAGATTGCCAAAGTGCCTGAGGCATGCTGGGGCTGGTGGTGAAACCCATGCCATCTGCACCCCCAGGGCAAGGAAGCTTAATTAAAGTCTTATCTCATAAGATCAGGCTTTTTTGTGTGACAATTAATGCACTGTCTTCCTGCTGGCAGCTGAATGGCTGTCTTTAAAATATGTAGGGTTTCACTGAGTCCCCAGCCGCCTCCTTCAGACAGGAACTGCTGGCGACAGGAGCGATGAGGGCTGGCTGATGTCAGGGTTCACTCAACAGATGCATGGTGGAGAAAGCAGTGACTTGTGCTGTGGGGGCAGCCAGTTCTCTGTGACCCTGTTGTCTGTGCTCCAGACAGACCTGACCTGACCTGGCCAGGCCTGCTGGCACTCCACTGGTCATGGCCGAGAGATGTGTTGTGGCATCGGCTGCTGGCACATTTGTTAACACCAAGGTGCTGTGATTTTTGTTCTCATTTCCTTTTTTCTCTTCTGAAGAAGTCTGGCTCGGGTCACAGAAGCATAGAATCATAGAATGGTTTCACTTTGGTTCAGATCTGCTGCTGCTGCCCAGACACGGCTGGATGCTTCCCTGAAGCCAAGCTGTTTACTTAATCTGTATATTAATAGGTGCTGATTTTGTGAACATAAACCCAGCCAGGTTGGATTAGCCCAGTTTCCCCCAGCCCAGTGTTTCCTTTTTCCAGCAGCAGTGACAGTGGTGCTCAGCACTGAGCATGACAAACCTATAATGACTTCTTCAGAGTATTATCCCAGCTTCCAGTGGTCTCTGGCTCATATGCTTCTTGTGCCTGATGTAGTGGCTTTTTATTTCATTTGTGTATTACTGGAGTTTGTATTTAATTTGCCTCAGTACTTCAAAGTAGAAGGTACTTAAGTCTGGATGGCATTGCAGAGCAAGGCTTATAGTCACAGAAGAGCTTGAGCAGGAATTGCATCTCATGTCTGTGTGAGTGCTTCAAGAGGGCTACATCCTCCATAGTGTCTTTCTGCATGGGGTGTCAGGCTTTTAAAGAAAGAAGGCCCTGACTAACTCTTCCATTCCCCAGGGATGTGTCTTGTTGGAGAGTGTATGACATTGATTGTGACTGCAAGTCACCCACTGCAAGTGGGTGAGCCCTTCAGCCAGTGCTGGAAAGTAAAGGAATGCCATTTTTTTTTCCCCATCCCCTGCATTTCACTCTAAACCCATGCCTGGACATTACATGTGCATGACTCAAGAGTGGGATCATGCCCACTTCTTGGGAAGTGTTACCCATTTTCTGCATTTCATCCCCTGTCCAGTAGACATTTTGACTCATTAGAGAATTGTACAGAAGTGTAGAGCAAGAGAATTATTTTGACAAGTTCAGTTCTGCTTCTGTAAGGGTTCAAAGCTTATGTCCCATGCTAGTCCTAAAATGTGTAGGCTGACAATTTTGAAAAATTTAGAGCATTATGCTGGAATGATGTGGGTGAAGTTTATTGAATAAATCTGACATGGGATAATAAAACGAATAAATGAAAAAATAGACCTCTGTCCACTGGAATCTGTGAGGAAGCAGAGGAGGGAGGCAGGTTCCAGATGCAAAGTTCATGGTAATTTTTTTGCAAGATGAAGGTCCTCCATCCATTTCACCTGTCCTGGAAAGACAAAGTACAAATGGACCCTGGTAAATGAAGGGTGCAAATATTTAACCATTTGTTGTTTTTGCAGACTGTCTCTGTCAGAGCCTGGTGATTTGCATGGCTGAGAAGCAGGTTTGACTCCTGCTGTGTGGATGTGTTTGTTGTTCCCCCGCTGCTGCCGGGCACAGGAGCAGGGACAGGCAGAGGCTGTCTGAGAGTTTGTGGGAATACTTGGGAAGCAAGAGGAGGTCTGCAGAATGTTCTGTATCAGGGGCATGATCCTTCTGGCCCTCTGTAGCACTCATACCTGGGTGACTCCTCATTGCATTGTACCAGCTTAGAGAAATTCCATCAGAGGTAACTAGGCCAGTGGTTTTGCTAAGGCTGCAAGAAACTGCAATGGAAACAGGAGGAGTGGGCTACACAGGGGAAGATTTCCAGAAGTTGTCTCGTCTGTAAACATGAAAGTGCAGGATCTGGGTATCTTTACTGGTAACCTGAGTGAGTTACCAAACAAACTGTGTTTTCCCCAGTAAATGTGTGCTGCCCACTGGAATTGGTGTCTCTGGATGATTTCCCTTTTAACTGTAGGCTTGGAATTAGTTTAGTGTGATTTAAGGTCTTCTGGGCTCATTGGGCCTGATTTTCTTAATTTGTTTAAGAATTTTTGCCAATGTGAAAGAAAGAGCAACTTCATAGACCTCTCTTCCCAGTGGTATTTTATTTATGAACCTTTTGATCTCCCAAACACACCTCTGGTGAGTGTTTGTCCAGTATGTACAATCCTGTGTTCAAAAAAGACCTCTCAGGTCAGCGGTTCACAAAAATATCGATCTCTCCTTACCCAACCCTCTGGGAAGATTTTGGCCAGCATTTGCTGACTTGTGTATTTGTGTGTGTCAGTCCTAATTGAGGGAAGCATCTTTGTGCAGGGAAGATCTTAAGATGTGAAGTCCCATTGTCACAAACATTTACCTGGATTTGTCACATGCCGTCATGTTTTCCCAACTGTATGTGACTTTAAGTAGAAGCTTAGGGGCTTTTCTGTACTGAGACTTGAGTACCCGAATGGACACCACCTAAATAAAAATTAAATGAGCAAGTCACATCCACGCCAGGAAGTACTGGTCATTCTTTTATTAATGTTCACTATGTGAGAGACCATACTTCAAAAACATAATTACCTCCCTCTTGGTCTCTCAGTCATGCCTTTCTGTCAAGGTTTAATTCTTGAACCTGTTGAGACACGTACACAGACATTTCTCTCTCTGTCCCTTGTACAACTAAACTAGTGTTCATTGAAGATGGAGTGATAGTCCTGGTCAAGAATAAGAGTTTAAGTGAAATACCTTCAAACTTTATCTGTATTTTTTTAATCTACATTTCAGAATCCTCACACACTTAGACCTGCTGCAGTTATGAGGGTTAGTTATTTGCAACACCCCTCTCAGCACCTGGAGCAGGGCCTGGCTTTCCATTGCCTTGTGGTCCTTCCATGCCAGAAGCCCTTACATGTTTCAGTTGGTTCCAAAACTCTGCACCCTCTTTCCTTCTTCCCTCAGTTCTTTATTTTTTCTCACTTCTTCTCCAGTCTGAGTCACTACCATGCACTCTTCATCCACTTCTCTGCCTGACTATCAGTGTTTGCCATCCACCCTCTATACTTCAGTGCATTAATTCAAGCTTGGAGTTACTTGAGGCTCTCAACCAAACAGAAGATGTTTTCACATAGATGAAACAATTTACTTCTTTGTCCTGAGAACTTATCTATTTTAATTCCACCTTCCCCCTTGCTGGACTCATGACCATTCCCAAACATCTGGCACTAGTGATTAATATTAATGAAAATGATAAACAATGGAGAACTTACATGAAAAGTCAGAGAGTCATAACCATGCATTACTGTGAGCTGACTGTGTATTTGTGTGCAGATCTGGACATTAGGGATCTAAAAGATGTGCATCTGAAGTGCCTCAACAGGGTGTGTAGAGACAGTCAGTGATTCACTCCATGAAGAGCCAGACATCCATAGAAAGGTAGACAAAGGACCCCCTGAAGGTGCTTTCTCTAATGATTATACAAGTTGACAGACAAGTACGACCAGTCTCCCATTTAAGATGCATGACCTTCAGTGGGGTGAACTCATTCTGTGCCTATATACACACACACCTACACATGTGCTGTTTATCTCTACATATATGTCTGTAGTCAGTTTTTTATAAATGTATCCGCATAAATGCAACCCACAGCACTCAATGCATCGTTACAAGCACCTGCAGGGTTTTATACCCATGTGCATGTGTTCCATGAAACCTTTGAGCTGTAATACAGTCCCACAGAGCTGTTTCCAGTTCATGTAACCTTAAGCCATGAACCCCTGCCTGCTCTTGGTGCTCTGTTGGCTCCGAATGCCATGTGTGGCACCCAGCAGCCTTCCTGCCGGTGGGCTGGTGCTGTGTGAGCAGCCAGCCCTCCTCAGCTCCGAGGGCTGCCTGCTCATGCCCTGCCTGATGTTACAGCTTTTCAAGTCATGCACTCTGCGAGACTGTCCGTAACCTGTAATATAGAGAGACAGACATCGTTACAGGCTGAAATAGCACATAAAAGCCTGTCTTCTAAGGAGCACGTGAGGGCTGAGCAGCGCACGTCCGCCTTCGCACGCCGAGCAAGGAAACGCGCTGTTACTGATAATACTTGATGGTTGTGCAAGGCTGAATTCTGCTCACTGGCACTTTTTATCTCTCACCTTTCCTGTGTAAGTTCCTTGCTGTTTCTGGATGCTTGCTGTTTGTAGCTGTGTGCATTTACCTCTGGTTTCCACATCCCCAGAAGAATGTCACTTCCCTGTCCTTTCTGTCCTTTCATCATCTCTTTTCCTCTTTGTCTTTACACATCTCTCCTTCAGGCTGTTGCAGCTCTGTCATGCTGGAAATACCAGAAACTTGCATTTTCCCCTTTCAGAGTAACAGTGGTGTCCCTCATCACCTAAATGCACTTTTTGTTTCCTTGCTGGAATCCCATTGGCCTTGGCTTGTTCCTGGGTAGATGTTGTGTATTTGCTGAAGACACATTTGTTTCTCTAAAGAGCTTTGCTTCTCCCTGGTGCTATCCAAAATTAATAGATGGATTTTGACTGCTTTTATACTCTTTGTTTGCACTTTTTTACCCTTTCTTACCGCTTCTTAGGGTTTTGTTCCTTAAGAAAAACAAGTAAAAATTGATTGGCTGGACTATACACCTCAGCTTCCCAAAAAACATGCAATGGCAAGTTACTATGGGGTGGATTTCAGTCCGTCTCCGTGCACAGGGCTGGAAATTGCAGCACTTTGGGAGATGATTCAGAAGCAGGAGAGCCAGCCCTGCCCCAGGGTGGGAAGGTGGATGCTGGATGTGGAAATGACTTTGATTTTTATCCATTCCCTGCAAAGGCCTGGAGTCATGGAGGTGGTTTTCAGTTATCCCCCTTTGTCTCAGCAGGACCACAGTGCTTCTGGAGATTTACAGGCAGCCAACCACTGATTCAGGGGGTTCAGATTTCCTAAAGCTTACCTTGATTTAGAAACAAAAGTCTCCACAGCAGCTTGGTAGGATTTGTGTTCCTCCATCACTGAAAATCCACTCAGTCCTCCAGTATTGATATCTGGAACTTGGTTGTTGGAAAGGGTGAGCACCTGTGACCTGTAGGGAAATGGTGACTCTTTGAGAAGGCGTCTGATGTCCAAGAGCCCCCGTGATGGGTGTAACTCGGGTATTTGTGTTTCTCTAGTAATGATACGTATCATTTGCAGTGCTTGCTCTTGCCCCATTGACTGTGCAAGATCGAGCCCTTTGGGATTTCAAAACACACTGTAGATATTGAATAGCTGAGCCTCCTAACCTTTCTGCAGATTAGGTAAGTGTTATTGCTCAGCATTGAAAGGGTGTAACTGAAGATATATCCCAGCTGAATTTGATGGAAAGAGGTTAAGTAACCTGCCCTAACCAAAAAGGGCATTAGTAATAGAGCCATTGCTAAATCTCAGCCCCATCCACTGATGGTTAGACAGTATTGCTTTGCCGTGTACATCTGTCTCCTGTTTGAGATGCAAATGAATAAAACAACATGCTTTAATGTTGTCTATGTCATTGTTAGCCCATGCTGTGGAGGCATTTCTCTTTCAAAATGCTGTGATCATTATTCCTGGGCAGTTCCTGACTTTCCAGCGTTATTCCTGGTTTGCCAGCTGGATGCATGTGTTTACATAGAATAGAAGTAAGGGCAGAGAACTCTCACCTTTGCTGTGCTTTTAGGCAAGATTGAACAGACAGCGGTGGGGACCAGGGCATCCTTAGTTCTCATAAAAGTGCTTTTCCTGCTGTTACATTTCATCCTGTGTTAGTGCAGCAGTCAGTGGTGCATGCCCCAGCACTTGGACCCACCAGCTTCTGTATCTGATGCTGCTTCCTCATTGCTAGGCATCTTCTTCTGCTCTATAGTGCATGTGACCAAGGGCCAGGACCTCGTTCTTCACAGGCCTAGTGATACCAAATGGATTTTCCTAGTATTTTTATATCATCCCTCCACCAGGGAAAAGAGGGAGGACACACTTGACTTTGAATTTCTGACCACCTCAAAAAAAAGACACCATCATTTAATACTGGAGACCTGCAGTTTCCGAGCAGTATTTTTTCAGCTCTTTTCCTTCACATCCCCAAGCAAAAGTGGACTTGGAAACAAATCTGGCCACTTCTAAAGCCTGGTTAAAAACAGCTGTGAGGGTAACCAACTGCCCTGTCCTGCCTTTGTGCTTTGCTTGGGCCTTCTGGTGTGTCTGACCAAGATCAGTCAGATGTCTCATGGTTAGTATAACCTGTTTGCCCTAATGCATCTTCATTTAGCTCTGGTGCAGTTTTTCATCCATCTTTCAAGATTGTTTGTCCTATTTTCAACTAGCAGAAGAGCCAGACAATCTCATTTTGTCAAACAGGTTTACAGCAACTCTAAGAAGCTTGGTCTATATTTAACCTGTGGCCTATTTTCAGCATAACACAGGAGGAGGTGAAGTCCAGCCTCTTTTCTGCTCCTGCTTGACATTTCTGGAGGCAATCACAGAGCCCCCCCTGTGTGGGCTGGAGACAGCTCTTTGGCCTCTTTTAGTACCACCAAGCTATAGATTCTGAACAGCAAATTCATAGCACATTTCTGCCTTGTGTGCTTGTCTTGTTGAAGTTTCTCTTTCCAGTACACTTTGACATAGTGCGGTTGACTGTACATAACTGTTGCTGAATGTGACAAGCACTGTGTACCTCTGCCATGGCAAGTGCCTGGACATTGTTAGCCAGGACGTGCTGTGAAACCTTCATGCAGAAACAGCCTCTCTGTGATTTGGTTTTTTTTTTGGTTGGCGTTTTTTTCCAGACGCTTAATCAAACTTCCTTTCCTGTTAATTTAGGAGCAGTGTGTTGTTTGGTTTGGTTATGGGATTTTTTTTTTTTAGAAAACTCTGCTTTTTCTGTTGACAGTGCTTAATGGAAAGCTTTATGAAGCACATTAACCTTTTGTATTAGTGGGTGTTGATTTTCACTGCTTGAATTTGTGGGCCTGTAAACCCATTGATTGAGGTGCTGTCCAAGCCCATGTCACAGAGACTGTCCCAGCCACAGAACACTTATCTACTCAGTGTTATGGTTTTGCACATGTAGACCAAATTCTGCTCTTGTACACATGGCAGAAAAATTACATTGGCTGGCTCTAAGAACCACTGCTTGTCTGAATTCATTGCATCCTACTTGACATTTGCAGTGAAGACATTCTGTTTCCTTTCTTCTCAGGTAAGTAGCCAGGTGTGATGTTTTCTGTTAGTATTCCTTTCCCCCTACCAGGGCTGTTTTACCTCCTCTTGCTTGGTAGCTTATATGTTTGAGGCCATGTTTTGAACTTGACTTGTCTAAGTGCTTCTCCCTCCCTGTTTTGTTTTACAGGCACTGGTTCGGCTTCCTCCTCATATTTCCCAGTGCGATGAAGTCTTCAGGTTTTTCGAGGCTCGCCCGGAAGACCTTAACCCTCCAAAAGAGTAAGTGCTGTGATGGATTTCCAGTGCTGCCCAGTACATTTTGATTAGCTGGAAGGAAAAGGTCATTTGTTTTTATTACTGGTGTGTAGGTGTGGGAACTGATTTTGTAGCTTTCGAGCACTACCTAGAGAATGCCCAGCAGTCACGCACAACGTTGGGTGTGTGGAGGACAAGGGAGTCAAGCAACCCTCAGACACAATTTTCAGCCATCCTCCACCCACCTTCACATTGTTTCTTGCTGATGATTCTAATGAGGGAACCTCCCCTGGCTTATGGGTTTTACCTGATAGTTATCACCAAAAAGTCATTTAGTTCCCAAAAGCATTGGCTGAATATCAGGGGGAAATCCTGCCAGTAAGCACTTGGCTAATAATCACCATCTGCTTCTTTAAATGTACTCCTGCCCAGAGATACTTAGTTATTTGAAGGGAGGAAGACTGTGGTCCAGATCCAGAATTGTCTCTAGAGAGTCTATTCTTTCTAAGCAGGAAGCCAAAAAAAGGCAGAGAAAAGAGTTCCCATTAAACATGAAACAGAATTGCAGCCTTTCCCTTGCAGCAGACAGGCTGATTCATGCTGATGCAGTTAGGGTTCAGAGGACTAATTTATCCAGGGAAAGCATTGGCAGAAGGGTATTTACAAGCAACAGTGCTGCCTTGCTTGGTATTTCCTTTTCTCCCTCATACTGAACAGGATGTTTTATTGTGGTCCATAATAAGATTTTGACTTGATTCCATTGTGTTTTTTGCTGCTTTGTTGCATGATTTGAAACTTGATTGCAGGCTGCATTACCGTAATTTGCTTTCTCTGGTGTTTGTGCAGCCAATTGGATAAGGGGAAATGTATGTAAAGCTCCTGGGTTTTGGGCACTTAAATGCATGCAAACCTTTACTAAGTGGAAAGATTCGTATTGGCTTCAACTCTCTGTTCCCATGGTGGTAGAAGGGAGAGAACCTTTACAATTTGATTTCCCAAACTTCGTCTCCTGCACATGCATGGTTTTATACAAGGGGATGTATTAGCATGCATACTAAAAAAAACCACTACTGGTAAAGCTGAGAGCAAAGTCTTTTTTGTTTCTTAAATGAGGAAAAGAGCGGTTTTTAATTTAAAACCTGGATAAAGAGCTGCTTTATTTTAGTTTCCTAGTCAGCCTTGTTTTAGAAAAATGTTTGGCATGAAAAAATACAGTTGCTTGTACACTGTTAAACATATCTTGCAAACTTAGAAACCATTGCAACAAGGTAAGCCTACACTGTGAGACCTGCTGACTATCAGTTTCCATTTAGAGTCTGTAAGTATATTTGCAAAGGTTGCTTGATCCCACAACTACCTTCAATGCAGAGACACGTGGGCCGGGCAGAAATAGACACTCAGAAGATTAGTGATGTCCCAAGAGCTATGGAGGACTTCACATGGAGAATCTCAAATGGATGTTGAGAGTCTGATTTAAGCTCCTGACTGCCTTCTGTACTGATACAGATCTTACAGTGCCTCTGCAAGGCAGGGGATTGGCACCAAAGCCCACCCTCAGACTTGCACTAGTTGCTTTCCCTTTTCCCACCTCCAACTTGTTGAGGGCCTTTTGCTGAGCTCCCAATTCGACAGCCTTGCACCAATTTTCAAGTTATCCCTTCACTCCCCTCTGGAAAAACAAAAAAGAGTAAATGTTCTCAGCCCAAGCCTTGCATCCTATTCCAACCTAGTAATAAGTGTGATTTATTTCCCTGGAAAATGTAGAGCAATAACCTGATTAAATCTCACTTCACTAATGTCTGCAAGACATTAATCTAACTGGGTTTAAACAAATCCTACCTCATCTTCTGTAAGCAAACAGATCTTAGAGAAGGTGTCTAAGGTTTCTGCTGGGAGTGCTTCACAAAAGATGTATTGTTGAAACTGAAGATTAGTCTCTACAAAAAGATGATGTAAAAGCCAACAGAAACATCTTAGTGTTTTTCTTCTATGAACTGAGGGGGAAGGGAGGAGATCTGAGGCTCACTGGACCACTGTGTAGGGTCCGGGGGAAGGACACCTCCAGGGCTATTCTGAACCTTAGCAGACACTGCAGGAAGGAGCACAATCAGACAGAGAAATCCCAATTTCTTTGCTCATTTTGCTACTCTGCCAAGCCCCTCCAGAAACAGTGGGCCAGTGACGCCCAAGCCCTAGGAATTCAGGCTTCCCTGGGCCTTGTGGTCCATCATTCATCTCACTGGGGGTGGTAGGGCTGTAGCCTGGGGGCAGCATCTACACTATCCTAATTATTTCATCTATTTCTCAGCTGCTTCTTTAAGCCCTCAGCGCAGAGGTAGTTTGTATGTTGATCTATCAGCATAGACATGGCATTCTTCTTGCTGAGTTGAAGAAGAACAAGCAAGAGACTCAGCTACCAAGGGATGGCAGGACAGAATAGCTTGTGTTACCTTCATGTCTTCCTTCTGTGTGCAATGAGACAATCTTTAGTTTCATGTTGACCTACTCAGTTTTTCTGCAGCTGCCTGGCCTCATAAGACAAAGCTTGACCTAGAGTTTAATTAACTAATTTCCAGGAGTGTAGCCTTAATCCCATGGGCATTTGGGTTGCTCAGCCTAGAGAGTCCATTGGCTTATTGCATGTCTGCAGAGCAGCGATTGAGCATATGCTTCCAGACAAAAAAACATGGAAGCTTAAACTTCAAGGGAAGAGGCACAAAAAAGTGCCACACCTGGGATGTGAGAGAGGTATCCATGCCTTTAGCTGCTAATCCGTGACTTGTGATGATGCACTAATCTATGTATTGGTGCAGTAATTCAGCTGCAAAGCTGTGCCCTTCACTCCTGTTCTACTGTCCTGAAAGAAACCAAAATTCCCCTGTTGTCCCTTAGGCACTTTTACAGACGTGATGCTGGCTTCTTTCTTACAACCCTTCATCTGCCCTACCCTTGCCTCCTCCCTGCTTCTTTGTGCAGTCCTCTATGGGTTATGCCGTGTTTGGTTTGCCAGCTGCTCCCTACAGAGTCATTTCCTACTGCTGCCGTGCTCTGATTGCCCTCAGTGCTGAGCAGCACACACAGTCCAACTGTAATAAAAGCAGGGCTTTCCCAACACTGTATTAATCCAGCCAATTTGTTCAGTTGGATTCACAGCTTAGGTTTTCCGTTTCCTGTTTTGGTGATGGTCCAGGCTTTCGAGTCCTGTGACAATAGGCACAAGGTATTCCTTTCAGCCCATTAAACCTCTCCTGGGTACAGTAGCTTACAGGCAGAGACCTCAAGACATGTCTCAAGAAATCTCATTGTTTGAACTGGCTGACAGTCTCCTCTGAGCCTGCTCCTGCCTATGGAAACAGCTCTAGGTCAGATAGCTCCCAACAGCAGGTTTCCTTAATGCTGCATGGGACAGACCATAGGAGGACACTAAATTCCTCTGTGGAATGGTCTGGGAGCTCTCTCAGGCTGTTTCACATGGTGAAAACATGGCATTTTCAAGGGAGCTTCAGGCCATGGGAGCACTGATGAGCAAGGCAGGGTTTGGAGCTCCAGTGCCAGTGTTCCCAGGGCAGCTGCTTCACTCCACTCTGTGAATTAGCTGCAGAGGAATCAAGCATCAAACATTCAGCCGTGTACAGGAGGAGCAGCTTTCAACTGCTTAGGTTTCTAATATGTGGCATTTTAGTGCTTGAGCAAACATCAATGTCTGTAGGCACATGGGTGGGCTTGTGTCTTTTACCATGCCTATGTAAGGACCAGATTCTGCACTGCTATGGGAAGAGACAATGCTATGGGAAAAGACATTGTAAAGTGAGAAGGAAGTGCATTTTTATTTATCCATTGTTCCAAGTTAAAACACCATGCCACTGAAAGCCATTCATTTACTGGATACTTCTGTTAATAATTATAATTACTGATAACTAAAACAGAGGTGGATTAATTTCAGATTTCTACTGGGGATTTAAATTCAAGGCTGAGGTCAGGCCAGGGCTCACAGTCAACAAACAAAATCTCAGAAACCAATTTTTTTAATAGTTCTTTTTTACTAGAAATAACAGAAGTACTCAAAGAGTAGGATTAATCAATTAGACACTGCATATGGTCCACTGCTTTTAGGGTTTTTTTGTAGATAGGTTCAAAATATCACAGCCAGACCACTCTTGTGAGAGTTTGTTTTTTCTTTCTGGGTCTAGATCTAGTCTAAAAAGTAGATCAAGAGCCAAGGATTCAGTTCTCCAGTACTCCCTCTACAGAAATGCATGCAGGCTCAAACAAGATTTCTGTTTAAACTACCGCTATTAATATTAACAGCTGAATTTAAAGCAGTGTTCAATATCTGAGAATATTTTGCCTGGAAGAACCATAACACAATTTTCAAACAATATGCAAATCCAGAAAAACTAGGGGACTTATTAGGTACGCAGCATAATATTACAAGGGTTGATACAGAAAATGGATTTATTGCTGAAGGTGCCTTTACTAAAGAACAGAAATTATTGTGGTCTGTAGCCATGAGCTTTACTGATCCTATCTTTATTGCATAAATATTGGTGTAACGCTCAGATACTCTGATGCCAGGCAGCCACTGTAAAATGGAAGCTGCATTCTCCCTTTATTCTTCATGTATTACATGTCCTGATAATGACACTGGAAAGAAGTTGCCAGGGTAATGCAGTGATCATGTTAAGGAAACTGCTTTAGTTTATGAGCCTACTGGTGCTAAAGCACAATTCTCTAATACACCTTTTTTTCTAAGAGCATGACTGTGTTTACATAGAAATATTTCTGTTTCCCAAATGTACTTTGATCTGCTCTGTAATAATAATTCAGTTACCTATTGGTAGAGGAGGAAAGTTGTTCATGTGTAAAATATCTACATTTATTCTTATTTGTTTGATATTATGGAAATATTTTCTCTTACAGTTCATCTCTTATATTTCACCCCTTTTGAATTGTTTTTCCCAACACATTGGACAGCTGAGCCTCTGAGCAGATGTGTTATGAGAAAAGCTGAAATTCTTTTTTTG